ATCCTTGAATATTGTTTTGTTATTACATTCTCGATACACTGTAATAAAAAAAAACTTTAAATTATTTCTCATATATATTTCATATTTAATTATAGATTTATTTTTCTTCTTATTAAAAAAAGGCAGGGGGAGGCTTACTTTAGTTTAAATATTTCAGGTTCAAATTTAAAATTGTAACCATTTAACTTACAGCGAGTCCTTTTTTTTAGCTTATTGTATTTTTTTCACAAAAAAAGAATGCTTTAATTACGCGTAGCGCTTATGTCAGAGAGTAACCAAAAATATTTAAATCCTTTGCAGAATTTAAGATAAAATATTTACTGTTTATACAGCTACAATCAAAAGTTGTTAATTCGCACACCCATAATCCGGACCTCAAAGCTACAAACTTTCTGTGCATGCGTTGCATTGACACATGCGCGTAAGACCTTTACGGCTGCGAATTTGCGTGTGCGCATGCACATAATACGTTTACGCTTGCGCGTTTAATGTATAACGGACGGTATAAGCTAAGCTAAAATTATCAAATTCAGTTAATGTTGCAGATTGCGTTGTTCCTTAATCTTCGAATTGGATCCGGCTTATTATTTTTTTGCAGACTGTTAGAGCAATTTTATAAAAGTAAGCTTGAACTTTCGATTATGTCAACTAGAATTTCCGATATATATTTACTAATATGTAAAGGATCTACAAAGCGAAAGTATGTTTCGAAGTCCATTAAACAAAAAGTGGAATTGCTGCAAAAAATGGATAAAGGCATATCTCTAACCATTCCGAAATCTGTTTATCAATTTCACGCTGCTCTGCGGCGGGTGGAGGAGATATGCCGACGCGGCGCAATGAATTGGAAGTTGATCTGTCAACACTATCCTTATCTTCAGGGCAGATGTTTTTATTTTATTGGCTTATAATTCCTTACTAAATGTAGTATTTCATCTCGATGTACTCCTTTGATATGATTTAAATCAATTCCTCGTCATTTAAATCACGAGAACAATCTTTAGTTTTGTTGCAACTTTTCTAATTCGATAACACATATTTTTTTCAATTAAAATGTGTTAAGTAAACAATCATTAATATTAAGCTTTTTTTTTTTTGTATATTTTGATATCCTTTAGTCATAAGTGTGCTTATTTCATAAATTATGGTTCCATATTTTTAATTTTATAATTTCTGCATGCCATCTTACCAGATTTAAACTGATGATCTATAATCCGGAATCACCGAAGTCCCGACAAGTCCGGATTAACGACATTTGACTGTACTTCATTGCTGTTTAAAAGCATAAGAATTATACATATTTTAATCCACTTCTTCCTTCACATAAAAATAAATAGTAGGAAAAAAAATAATAGTTGTGATCATAACAAAGCCAAAGTAGTCGGCTACTCTATTAGTCAATTATTTTCACTTACTTCATCTTGAAAGTGAAGTACTGAAAGAACTATAAAGGCATGAGACAACAACTTTGAAATGCATTGCTCTTTTGAAATAAATAAAAATAAAAAAGTAAAAATTACGGAAAATGTTTTGCACAAAATCTATTTATCCATTAAGGAAGGAAATACAAGAAATAATACAGTAATCTAAAGTTCATATACTATTATTATTATTATTTTTTTTTTAATTTTCAAATTTTAATGCTGTCTCTTTCTCAATTAATGAGATCTAAAAAAAAAAAAAAAAGTATTGACTAAAAAGTAAAATAGTAATTAAAAATTCATTAATTAGCTCATTAAAGACAACTACTCACTTTTTATCATTAGCATTTTTCTCTCCTGCATCAGATTCATCATCCTTTAATGAGATAGGTTCACGAAGCAATTTACAGTACTTTTTTTTTCGAGGCTGAAAATCATCAGATGAATCCTCTTCACTTTTTGTCTTAGATTTTGGTACTTTTTTAGCTTTCTTCTTCTTTACAACATCAGAATCTAAATATAAAATTTTCCTGCAATTGGCTGTAGTAATTGTCTATAGATTTCAATCTGAGAAACACAGATCATCTGAATGCAATTTGTTAACTAACATTATATCTATGCAAAATAAACAAAAAATTTTCAATTAATTTTTTAATTACTTAACCTTGTGGTAAGTTCTCAAATATATAGCCTAGAATATAGCGAGGTGTGTCGTCAGCACAGTGCAGCTTGCAGAGCAGTGGAAGTAACACCCAGATGCAGACGAGTACAAGATCTGGCGATGAACAGATGCGTTCTCTGTAAGCAATGACAGGGTTTCTTCAACTTTTTTTCAGTCGCGACCCCTTTTTGTTACTGATATTTTTTCGCGACCAACAGGACCCCATAATATTTACAAAAATTTTGTGGTACCCGTTAAGTATGCGCAAATCTACACGTGATGGAACTGTCCTTTTCACTTGTACTGTAATATACTATTGCAGTTTAGGTCTAACTTATTTCTATTTTCAGACATAGAACTATGTGAAAATTTTAAATACGTAACAGACGAAATGACAGCGTCACGTGCAAAGCAAGTAAAATGACTGTTTCTATTGTAAAAAGAATGCTTTGAAACATTTTCCTCTTTTCTTTGTCTGTATTGCCTTAACCTTATCTATTTTCAGATAACTTGTGTAAAACTTTTTGGTAATTGTAAAAGTATTATAATAATTTAAAGAAATATCAAAACTGATAAAATTTTTGGTGACCCCCAGGGGGGTCATAACTCAGAGTTTAAGAAACCCTAATCTATGAGGTGAGCAGACAGCTTGTACTCCAGGAGTTTTGAAAGAATGGTGGTCTTCCGCACAAATTGACAATCCATTTGAAGATATCTGAATTTTCTGCCAGAGATGATGAACTATAAGGATAACATGAAACTATCCTATGAACTGTGAAGGATTTCCAGATCTATGTGGGGGTCGCAATTCTTTACGTCAGTTTAATCATTGTCACTTCCATCACTTATCTTTTCATTCACCTTAGTAAATTCATAATAAAGTAGATTAGTACTTATCTAATTCTCCATTTGATCTTAAATCGGGTAACCCTATATACATACACACATATATATGTATATCAGGGTTCGTACACATTTCTGCATACAGAAATTAAGTACTTTTAAGGACCATTAATGAAAAAAATTACGGACCTATGAGCAAATGGAAACTGAGTAAATTCAATTAAAAATATTATATCTATGCCTGAACATGAGTAGGATGCATTATTATTAAACATAACTTAATTAACATAATTATTAATATGTTTGAGAATAAAATTAATTTTATGAAATTTATCAAGTAGCATTACATATTTTACACTTATAATAACTGGATATATTTGAAAGAAGATAAGTGACATTTTAGTTAGATTTAACTAACAGTTAGCCATTTTTTTTAATGTCTCATTTTGTGACATACTTGCTCAGTCTAGAGGTTTAGTAAATAGCAAGTAGATTTTACGTCAAGCAGCATAGGTTAAAAAAGCATTAAAATCATAATCAGCATGATTCATAACAAAATAGTGGCTAAGAAACCTGCTGATCAGAACAAACCTGAAAGGCCTGATGTAGGCACAGTTAAGCAAGTTTTGAAAGTTAGCTGACCTCTGTCTGATGCTGTTAATGTAGTAGCGTCACGTAGAGTTCCAGGGGTTGTAACTCAGTTAATATACTTTAAGGTTAAGCCACTAAAGCATCAACGGTGATGGGGTTGTAACTCAGTTAATATACTTTAAGGTTAAGCCACTAAAGCATCAACGGTGATGGGGTTGTAACTCAGTTAATATTGATAAAGTTTTTGCATTAAGTCTCACTAATGCAAAGAATAAGTTTCACATGAATTTTTAATTTTTGTTTTTACCTTGTGACCACGGAAGGTTAAAACGTTGAGTCCGTGCCGATTTGCTTTCCTTTCCGTTCAGCCGGCAACGAGCGATCAAGCGGTGCAATATTGCCGACTTCATATTTATAATACAAAAAGGAAGGAGACGCACATAAAGTCCGAAAGTATTTTCATGTTATGATGCAATTCCAAACTATTTGGAAGCAAGATAGCCCAAAAATGTTACCAAATAGTTGTTTCGTATGGGAAATGTGTCAATCTAAGCCATATTTTGTTAGAAGTTTCAATAACTTCATTAAAACTACATTTGATCACATTTCATTGACTCTATACTTATTTTTTAACTTTAATACTGTCATCCCGCGGACCGATGCCAGCCAAACGAAAATTCCAGTGCCGGTCCCCAGGGACCGAAGCCAGGCTCAGCGTGTTAACGAAAGGCAATAACTTGCTTTAATATAGAGATAATTTTTAAGGGAATGCATTTAGTTATAATTAAATTAGGTATTAGATAACCTTAGTCATTATGGATTTACATGGCCACTATTAAATTTACTTTTTAATAATATTTGTTAAAAAAACCCTATTAATATCACAATCACATAAATTTCACAGCTAAAATATGCAAGTTATGTTGATTTTAACAATATTAGGATAATACTTAAAAGCTACAAAACTAAACTCAACAAATAATTATGTGTCTTTACTTTGAAGGCCTGCCAGACATTTGGCTAATTTATATCGATTTCCTGCTCCTTAAGCATGTGTTCTAACAATTAGAAATTTGTCTCAATATGCAAAACAATGTTCTCATTAGTTTCTGAGTGTTTTATCTCCCAACTGCCAACCTCTCCACAATGTACTACCTATGAGGGTTTACTTGATCTGGTAAAAGTTAAATAGTCCGAAACCTCCCCCCCCCCCCCCCGACATACGTGAAACAAATTATCACTATGTCTGAAAGTAACTATAAATCAGACAATAAATTTAAATAACGGTTTAAATAAGATTCTTATTCAAAAAGAACTTTGAACATATAGGCATGTTATTATGCTAACAAAATAAAATACAGTTTGTGGTGATATAATTAAACAGGAACTGTCGACATTTCAAACTAAAAATGTGGACTAGTGGTCCAAAGAGCTACACAATTTAATTTTCAATCTAAGCTGGCTCAGTAACACTTTGTAACAAACTCGTAACTCGTCGTAACATAGTTATCACGTAACAAATTCAAATGTCAGCAGCATGAGTAATGGCAAAGACTGAATAATTACAAATTAATGATAACACAAAGATGAATAATTACAAATGACCAGAACTGGTATGAACTAATGCAGGGAGCAAGCAGGAGGTTCAGAAACAAATTCTGTCTTACAACCTCAAAAAACTTCAGTTTAAAAACTATCTAAGTGATTTTGCAATTCTGAGTGAGGAAAATATAAATGGGAAATTATAGTAAAGGCTGAAACTGGAAACAACTGGGTAATTTACATAATAACTGTACATATCTTTGAAGAATAATTTTCTTTCTCTTTACATATTTAGTTTCTTTTTTCAACATGTTTCCTTTTCACTTTAAATTTTTGAGATTTAATTAAAGACTTCTGTTATTCTAAAAGACTAAATGCATTTAGAATGTATGGAAAAAGCTGCTAATTTTATTTCTTTAGTAATACGAACATTCAGAAGAAATATGAAATACACATGGTAAGGTCTAGTCACAGAGCTGGTGTGGCATAATTTTTAGAATTTAGGGACACACCGAGCAAAAAAAATCTAGAAATGGCAAAACTTTTAGAATTTAGAGCAGGCATTGAAAGCAGAATTTAGAAAGGTACCAGGCATCAGAATTTAGGATCCACAGAGACTGCATCAGGTGGCAAAATGCCTAGTGCCAGCTCTGTGTATGATGCATTAAGACATATTAGATGAATCTTTTAAATTGTCAGTTTTCAATTTCTTTATTCATAAAAAAATTCCTTTCCATAATGCCTGTTCATATGATAAGATTAGAAGTACTTTTGATATTTTCCATGCTTGTATCTAGTGAAAAGTAGAGAAAATAAAGGGAAGATAAAAATGTTAAGAAAGCGATTCTAGAATCAGAAGTAAAACATTCAACTATTATGTTTTCATTGTTCTTCTAGATGTTCTCCAAAATGTAAGAAATTGCGTGTTACTACCATGGAGACATTTTTCATTTTATCACATTTTTCTGGAATCTTCTAGAATCATGGGGTCTATAAATTTGCCTTGAAATCTTTCTAGACTTTCCAAGCTTCAATGTCTAAAATCCTGAAGAAAAATTACCCCTACCAATTCTGTGACAGCAAAAATCCAGAAATGTTTTTAGAAAAAATCGGAGAAAAAAAGTGTGAAATTTATATAGAAAACTGATGCATATTCTGAGAATTCTGATAAATGTGAAAAATTCTTAACATGAAAAAATTAAAAAGACATTTTTAATTAATTACATAGCTATTTTGTTTTGCTAAAAACTGTTTTGTAAACTTTGTGCTTTATAGCATTATTCCTTGCTTATTTTTCAGATTCAAAAAATTGTATAATATGTGGCCAAACTGGAACTTTATAATAGGACAGTGAAAAATAAAAATGCTTCATTTTAATGTTATTTCTTAAATATAATTCCAATATGTTCCCATTATTTTAATGAAATTTATCAATCTTAGAATGTTCTAGAAAAATCGTCAAAAAATTCCCAGATCTCGGAATTAAAAATTTTTTATAAAAACCGATCTTAAAATCGCCAAAATGTTGATAATCGTCAAGTTTAGAACCATTTAATAAAAGAATTCACATTACCAAAAGCGGAAAGTTGTTTGAGAGCTCTTCATTACAAAAAAAGAAATAATTTTTAAGGTTAGGCCTAATTATGCCTACTCTAAATTCATCGTTTTGGTGAAAATTTTATGATTTTGTTTTATTTATTCATTTTATAGGCCACACATTTAGGTTTCCAAAAATGCTTTATTTTTTATTTTATGATAACTAGAAGCAAAGTTATAGTATAAATAATAAACCAGAAGTGAATTTTTGGATGCCGAAAGTTGACATTTAAAGGGTCATAAAAATGTAAACAATAAGCTTTAACAGCTATTTTCTAATTATTAAACAATATAAAAGCCGCAAAAGCAACATATCTTTCACTGTGTGACTGCTGATAAAATGCCTAACATGGGAAGACTCAAATCAATAATGAGTATTTTAATAACCTTTTGAGAACTATTTTACCTAAAGAAGCTTTTGTCCAATTGAAAACATTGCTTTTAGGTGCACATATTGCTGCATTATTATTTAAATCAAGATATTTAGGACTTTTACCTAGTTTCAGGTATCTAGAAATACAAATTAATTCTATTATACTTGAAAGCTACATGAGAATAGAGAAACAGCGAATTCAGAAATCGAAATGTCAATCTCTACAAGCAACAAAGTTATCCAGAAAAATGCTAAAAGAAAGTCAAAATTAGTTAAGAATAAAGCAAAAAAGGGCCTAACATACAAATATGGCGAGTTTTAAAGGTTTAAAGTGGTTAAAAAAATTTTTGTGCTGTATTAAAATCTTTAAATGCATTTTCTGAGAAACTGTGTTTTTCATTACTTTTGATTGCGATTACGTCAATTTCTCAAAATGTATTTAGAATATTGAAATGAAATTTTGCCAAAATATTTTATTCGTCTTTAGCTGTGTTCTGTAGCAAAATCTGGCCTCTTTGTATTTATTTTTTGATTTTATTGACAGTATTTAGAAGAAAAGAGGATTTTTTTGTTTTAATTTTGAGTTTTTGTAACAAGTTTGGAATATTTCAAAAAAATTTTTAAGTACAGCAGATCCTTTGCTACAGAACACGAGTAAGTATGTTATTTATATAATGTTGTAAAAATTTTTGAAGTATATTTGTTAGAATCTATCATAGAAGATCTGGCATAAATGAAAATTTTCACTAAAATTTTACCAAATATTACCTATATTTAAAAAATTAATAAAAAGTTCTGTAAAATCTCATTTAAATTCAGTGTTTTATATCTCATCTTACTCAAAAATATGTGTGTTTAATTAAAATTTTATGTATTAAAAAAAAAAGTGCTTCGTATGCAGGCACATAATGCTTATGTTTCATTTCTTGCTCAGAAACTCGAGTATCCCACCATTATTTCTATTACAAATAGAAACAAATTATAACTCATGAACTCATTAAAAAAATAGCTATATTTGTCAGTGAATCGCCAAAAATATTCCTGCAAAATGCTAATTTACCCCCAAAATGGCAGTCGTAAAAACAGACAGAAATTTCAGATGATTAAAATTAAGGACCTTCTGCCAATTTTGGCCAAAGTTAAGGACTTTTAAGGACCAAACGAACTCTGGTATATATACTATGCGTGTGTGTATCTTGAAATATGATCAAGAAATTAAAGCACTGTATTAAAAGAAAAATATTTCAGTTATAAACTACCAGCGGTATTTTAATGAAAGGATGTACCTCATTCACAAGATATTTAAAGAGGGGAAGTTTGTAGTTTTGGAGCCAAATCTCTGGCTGTTTGGACAGTTGAACAATGTTAACTTGCAAATGGGAGACAATAATTTCGTTCTGCTGGTGGCAGAAACTTATTTATAATACACTGAAACAGGTAAAAAATGGCAACAACTGGCAAAAACCAGGAAAAATATTTAAAATGTTATATTAACAAACAACATTTACTAATTTATTAAGTTACTTTAACACATATTTTAATTAATATATCCTAATAATGAAAATTAATAATTAATGCTTCTATCAGACATGCAGTTTTAAAATGAACAAATATTTTAAATTTTGTTTATTTATACCACTACATTTTTATTAAATGATGCATTTAAAATGAATCTTACACATGTATAATGTACATTTCACTAAACATACATAAACATGAAGTAGTGGTTTATGAAATAATGAAGCATTTATTATCTTAAGGGAATCAAAATTTACAAAAACAAGTTCAGTACTATCTGTTTGCTTTATTAAACACTTCTTTCAATGTAAATTATTTAAAATGCTTTTTTTTTTTTTTTTTTTTTTTTTTTTTTAGCTAATACTTTTCATTTAATTGGATAGATAGACAAAATTTCTTATTCAGTTACAACGTTACATTCCTCAAGTCCTTTAATTGTCTTGTCGAGAATGAAAAGTGTAGTCATAAGAAGTGTTGATTTGTAAATTGCTTTAAATCACGGTGTTTCAGAATGATACGTAAGCAAAGGCTTGAGTTTAAAGTCACCTTTTGCATTACCTGCTAAAAACAAGGAGAGTGGCTTTTGGTACAGGACTACACGTTTTTTCTTGTGAAATGGATATAGGATGGCATCCTCTGCTAAAATAAATGGATTTTATTCACAACGAACACAGCTTGTGATGAAAAGTTTTCATCAGCAATAATTTTCTTTAACATTTGTGGAAATTCTTTCACAGCTTTCATGTTAGCCTTAGATACCTCACCACCAATCCTCAAATTGTGAATGTTATTTCGTATTTTGGACTGATCAAACCATTCACAACTAACCACAAAACTGTTTCTTTCTGCATAAAATTTAAAAAGCTTTTTGCTTCCGGTATAATTATAACTTGATTTAAGGAAATCTTATGCTGTGTTTTATAATCAATCCGAATACTGAGTTGTTGTTCCATTTCTTCAAAAACAGTTTCTGAATTTTGTAACTTTTTTGCTAACATATTTGATGATGCTGTAGCAGAAGATTTAATTTTTCCCGAGTTTCGCTGAATTGTTCATATAACTGAAGGGCTAACTTAAGGAACTTGTGAAGCCAACTTGTCGCTGCCCACCTTCAAATCAATCTATCACTTCAATTTTATTTCTAAACAAGCTGCCTTTTTCTTTTTAGAAGAATCCATCGCAATTTTAACAAAATAAAAAAAAAAATAGTTTTTCCTTTCTTCAAAACTATGAAGATGGAAAATAATCCACAAATCACGAAAGTAACTTATTATGTTAAAAAAAAAGCCTGATAGCTAAAATGCAACCCAAGCAATATGATGAGTGGACTGATGGAAATTACGAAATGAGTGGACTGATGGAAATTACGATGAGAGTTACTGCACATCCGCACTGTATCATATTGAACATAGACCAGCACTCAATCGCTCTCTTGCAATGCCTCTCATAGCTCATATTGTACCTACAGCCTAATAACATGCAATTCAATTCTATAGTGATATTTTAAAAAATTATTCTCATTGAAAAGTAACAATCAACCGCTATCAGACACAGAAACATGAAAATTGAATTTTCTTATTTTTAAAACAGCATTATGGCAAATCAGCATAAAACTGGGTAATGTAAACCAAGATATTAGTGTACTTCAATGAGTTTTTATAAAAGTTATTCAAAAAAAAAAAAAAAATCCCTATCATACATCCTTTTTTCTCTCAGCCACATTTCTCTTTCATACTGATTTTTTTTCGGGGGGGGGGGTATAGAAATATATTCAATTTAATAAAATACCTTATAAGCAATAAATCCTGATAAAATAATTCCTAAACTATAATTTTTTTTATCTATGTGCAACCAATCAAAATATAATGCAAAAATTTTAAAGGGTGGAAATAAAAAGAAAGTCTGAAAGATATTATTTATAATCTGCAAAATTCACTAATTTCACAACCCTTGGCCCTGATGTGGGTGGATTTTTGGAATTTTACTGTACTCGATTTATCATTTATTTGTAATTTTTCATTCTTTGCTGCTGTAATGAGTGAAAAGATTGTTGGCAATAGCAAGTCTAAATTATCGGTATTATATAACCAGTAAATGTATTTAGTATTTATTTTGAAAAATTTTTTGATGAAAAGAAAAATAATTAATTTGAAAATTTTACATTTTTTAAGAACTTAATTTAATTTTAGTAACTTATGTATATAATATTATGGTTATACTACATAAATTTACAATTTATATTTATAATAAATTAAAAAACAAAAGCAAGATTGGAAAAGGTATTAAATTATCCTTTTAAATTTCATTATTTTCTTCCTTTCTCTAGTTGATTTTTAATATATATCTTTCTTTGAGCAAACAAAACTTGATTTGTCGATCTTAATTTAACTCATCTTACATATCACCAGTTTTTGTTATCGACAAGCACACGACAGGCTTAACCAGAGTGGTGTTATTATTTTATAACTATCACAAAGTGAAACTTGTAACAGAAAAACTTGCAATAAATTATTCCCTTTTACAACATATGACATTACCTGAAGATAATGCATCACTCTCACTATCAGACTGAAGCAATTCATTCTTTGCTAAAATATTTGGATCAGCAGGTCCATCTGATTTTTTTGAAACATCAAGATGTTTCTTTTCCTAAAAAACAAGATTACAGAATTCTAAGAAATAAGTTACATAAAATGAACAGTAACAAAATAAAAATATATTATTCCTGTTATTACATTAGAGATTAAGTATTAAATATAAAAGTTACAAATTAATAAAAATTCATTGTCCCCTCAAAATATTATTTCAGACTCTCAGTAGTACCAACATGTACATATTCAGACCTGCCAACCTTCCAAACTCAAAAATCAGAATTTTTCCGTACATACATGCACCATGCCTTATTTTGCCTTTCTAACATTATTACTAAACATTTGTTTTCTTTGCACTTATGAATAAAATTCAATAATAAAATTTAAAAAAAAAAAAAAAAAAAAAAAATTAAAAACAGCATATGTTTACAATTCTCAATACAATATTAAGTGTTGCAGTAAATTTTTTTATTTTTTCATTCTTCTCTCAGTTCATCACACCAACATTCAATTTTCTTAGCAACATAACTTACCCAAACATATGTTTTCATCTTTTTAACTTTATTATTAAACATCACTTCACATTTAACCCCCATAAAATTCAACAACAAAAAATTTTAACAGCAGCATTATGTTTAAAATTCCTAACATTCCTTAAGTGCTGCCATTAATGTTTTTTCAGTCTGTTCTCAGTTCACCATATTGATGCTCAGCTTTCTTAGGCTGCTATCACACGTCGGTTTGTTTCGAAAGAACAACTGTTTGGAACAATTTTTTCTGCTTTGTCACAACAGCCAATCACCACAGCTCACTTTGGGGTTAACACAGGGGAAACTGGTTCTTCATTACAAACAAGCTAACAGCATTCGGCGCTGATAGCTGATTGGTTGAAAACAAACAACCTGCAACTTTTTTCGAAAGGAAGGAAAAAGTCGCATGTTTTTCTTTCAATAGTAAACCAGGCAGAAAAATTGTCCGAAACAGTTGTTCGTGTGAAACAAACGCCGTGAGATATGGGCCTTAATAAGATGACTTGCGCAACTTTTTTTTTTTTTTTTTTTTTTTTTGTCTTTATATTATTAGCCCGAAAGAGCTATTTGTCTCAAACCTAAACTTTTTCATTCAATCATTTTTTAAATAAAGAGATGCCACAAAATTGGTTAATCAAAGAGCTAAAGCATTTATCATATGAGAAATGACCGAGAATACACGACAGCAACAAATAAAATCGGAACAATGGAAGAACAATGAATAATGACAACCAAATGACAGAAAATAAACAATTTGAATGTCCAATGTCAGAAGAGCTGACATTGCAGGAAAAATGAGTTTCTTTTAAGTGACATTAAGATGTCAACCATCTTAGACTTTTTTTTTAAATTTTCATTGAATTTATAACCTTTATTTTATTTCTATTAACTTTGTGTCTTTTTAACTTTATTCATTAAACATCACTTTCTTTGCACTTACGCCACATAAAATTCAACAGCAAAATCACAAAATGTTTAAAATCAGCATACCTTTAGAATTCATGATGGAGTGTTAAGAACTACCACAGGTTTTTTTTTTTTTTTTTTTTTTTTAAATATTTTTAATATGCTGATGATCCAAAACATCACATTTTTTCAAAGATCTCATCTGGATGACATGAAGGGCATCTGATTAAGTGGAAATGGTATCTAACTACTGCTGGAGAAGGTAAGGAAGTATTCTTGCATTTACTTTTGCGAGAGATGGGAAAGGCTGCTAATCTAAGCTAATCTGATAAAGGGCAGATTGTAATGGCCCGAAGACTTTTAACGAGTATCTCCAAAACTGCATTAGTGGCAGGCTGTCCATAATCTACCATTCTTAATATTTATGCAAATTGGATAAATGACAGTGAAACAGCAGTAGATGCAAAAGTATTGGACGTCCATGTGTCATGAAAAAAAGGACATCAGAGAATGTCCCCCTTGGTGCAGCAAAATTGGTGGAAGACAGTGGCTCAGCTGACAGCCCGATACAATGCAGGTCCCAGTATAAGTGTTTTAGAAAATAATTCAGCTGACGCTGTTGAACATGTAGCTGTGTGAATGTGCCTCTGCTGACCAAGCATCATTGTCAACTAGGCCTACAGTGGGCCCGGGAGCTTTGAGACTTAACAATGCATAAGTGGAAGACAGTTATCTGGTCACATGAATCCCGATTTTTCATTCATCATGTCGATGGTCGTGTCAGGGTAGGTAATTTTCCAAGCGAACATTTGCTCTTCCTGTACAGCAGGTCATACACAGGCTGGTGGTGGCAGTATTATGCTTTGGAAATAATATTATGGGCAGCTTTGGGATCTTTAGGTGTGGTAGAACATACCACAAAAGCTGCAGACTATGAACGAAATTGCAGATCAGTTGCGCCCTTACATAGTGTTTGTTTTCCTAGCTAGAAATTGAATCTTCCAGCCGGACAAGCAAGGCTTGTGATGGAGTGGTTCTAAGGGTGTAAAGATAAAACTCCAATTAATGTCATGGCCTACTAACTTACTGCTTTGGGTAATTGTCAAGATGGCCAAAGTTATTTTAGAGGGTTCACTATACTTTCCATTAGCACATTTTAATCTTCTAATTAGACTCCATTGAGTATCAGTTCTTGTCGACACTATAATTTTATCCAAATTTTCTAACTGTAAATTGAAAAACTTTATTTAGAGTTTATTAGTTGAAACATTAATACCTTTGTCTTTGAAAATTAAGCAAAATAAAACTAGAAAGCTATTCAAAAATTCTTACGTCAGAAAAAGATGCAGCTGCTAGAAGCCGTTACAGTAAAAACATTTGCAACTCATTCACAAAATATTAATTGACTGTTCAGAAAACTGCACAGTTTCATACTTAAAAGAAGTAACTTCTGATATGTAAATAAAATTTCTTTTTAACTTCATCTGGAACATCTTTCATAATTTCATTAGATGCAGCCCCTATTAACAAATCTTCAGTATTTTTTGGGCCATCTTACTATAATTTACATAATACAAATAATACAGATAATAAAACAACAGTCAGTTTTACAAATTTTGATAAAATGTCTTTAAACAAATCACTAATCATTGAACACAACATACATATTTTTCAGGAGATAAACTTATAGCAACTGGCATATATTTCCCCAGTTGAGGATTCCCCCCCCCCTGTACAGCATGCTGTTTTTTTTTTTTTTTTTTTTTTTTTTTTTTTTTTTTTTGTCAGTATAGCATCTGGCTCATTAATCTGCTTTTAGTATAGTGTGTGGTTCACCGCAAAAATGTAGTACAAACTATATAAACATATTTATAAACCCTTGATAAAATAAGATCATGTTCTCACACCAAATCAAAGCAGTGTTTTACTTAAGATAACTGAGTCATAAAACTTAATAGCACTGTAGAGAATTAGGCTTAGTAAATTAACTGAACTACTTTAAAAAAGTAAGAAAAGCAAGTACTGGTTCATGTTTTATTCCTTTTGTAAATACTCTGAGGTACCTAATAAAAAATATTAACACTGTTAGTAGAAATCCTTAATAAAATAACTACTTATAAGTCAAAATGTTAAGAACATTAGGTGAACTGCATGCTATACCACCACCAATTCTTTTTTTTTCATTCACAGAGACATCTGGATAAACTTTATTTTATTTTTTTGTTGTATTCTTCAGAAAACTGTCAATTTAGTTATCAATTATTCATGAAATTAATTTTTCTCACATTTACTTTTAAAAATGGAAGTAGTAGTCATATCTTCACTTACTTTAGGTATTTTATATCTTTCAATAAATCCTTCTATCTTAACTTGAAAAGCATTTACCCTTTCTGTTAGATAATGTAAGTACTTCTGATATGTAAATAAAATTTCTTTTTAGCTTCATCTGGAACATCTTTCATAATTTCATTAGATGCAGCCCCTATTAACAAATCTTCAGTATTTTTTGGGCCATCTTACTATAATTTACATAATACAGATAATAAAACAACAGTTAGTTTTACAAATTTTGGTAAAATGGTCCAATGATTAGGTCCCATTGGTTCAGGATTTTAGATAAATACCCATTTATATGTTTCAAAATTTTTCTTAGTTCAGCATTATGTTGCTGCTGAAGGTGTGTGTCTCTATTTTTAAAAATGGAAGTAGTAACCATATATTCATTTATTTTAGGTATTTCCTATCTTTCCATAAATCCTTCTATTTTAACCTGAGAAACATTTACTCCTTCCATTACATAATATAAATGTATTTGGTTTCATTGGTTGAGAAATTTCTTAGTTCAGAATTATGCTGCTGTTGAATGTGTTTCAATTTTTCTTTAACCTTAAAACACTTTTCAAGATAGTAATAAACATCAATAAGGAACTTATCTATATTTATTGAAAAAGAAGTTGCATGTTTTTCAGCTTCTAAATTTAAAAGGTGACAGGTATATTTCATAACCTAGAAATCTGAGTTTTCTTGTTTCAAAATGGCTGCAACATCAATCTTTAAGCCTACCATTACTGATGCTGTATTTGCACCAAAACTTACACAATTATTAAAGGATCTGTTTTCATTTCAAGTTTTAATAATTAGCTGTGCTGTATGTAGAATACATGCAGAATCTTCTTCTAAAATGGAAAATACAAATTAAGTATACTCAATTTCTGAAGCCAAAGGATTAAAAAAGTAAATATTGGATATATTTCTACATTGGTATCATTGCTTCTATAAAAAAGCAGAAAACAGCTGTTTAAAGCATACTCTTTTGCCACTTTGCCTTCCTGCTCACAACATGTTGCTTAGCCTCTGCTAGTTCTTCTTCATTACATAAGATCAAATTGCGTGTCTAAAATTGTGGGGTATGTTTACAATCCCTATTGTTCTGCTAATTTAAAAAATATGTGCTAAGAAATTTGTCACCCATAAACAAATGACATTTAACTACCAAGATGGTTGTGCTTCTTCTGAAATTCAATGCAGTCATTTACTAGAACGTAATTCTAGTAAACGTAATTCTAGTCATTTACTAGAACGTAATTCTAGTAAATGATTAGAATTGCAAGCCAACTACACAACAGTTTTCTCGACCCTGACTAAAAAGTGAAATGGTGCTTTTCCTAATCGAGCTGTCATGTAACATGCCATCTACAACAAAATACACCAGCACATTATTCAAGTTGCCAGGAAATGAATCTCTGCCACTAACTTCAGTGGATAAAATACCAGCAAAATCAAAAATGGAAATGGAGAAAAGATGTAGTATTTCCGTCTGCAAAATCATTGTGCCTTGCCACACTTCTTGTCATCAAATGTTTCTGATCTCCCCCCCCTCCAAAAAAAAAAAATTAAAACATGTATAAACATTTAAGGTGAAAAGAAATCATTTTCAAAAAACTAATCTAGCATAACGAAAGTGAATTAAAGCATACGAATATTCCGAGGTATTTTCAACTACACAATCTAGTGCTTATCATGACTATCACTCTTTCTGTAAATTATTTATTACTACAACTATTCCAATGTATGAATTATGCTTCAGCAATCTTCTTCATTAAAAAAAAAAAAAAAATTCAAAATTTATTTTCTCTTCCAAGCTCTACTGAAAAATGTGATTGATTTTTCTAGGATGATTTATTCATCTACTTTTGATCCTTAGTTTTGTAATACAGTTTTGAAAGAAAAAAAAAACATGATTTTCAATCAGAAATATCACATAGAAATTCTTGATCATCATTATTATTATACTGCAAAGCTGAATGCATAATACTGTTTCTTCTTATAATGGATTAAAAGTATAGCATCATTTGAACAAAAACTAAAAATTATATAGTTCTCTACTCCAGACATCTATAATCCGGAATTATCTATAATCCGGACCTCAAAGCTATAAACTTTATGCGCATGAGTAAACGTATAATGTGTTTACGCATGTGCATATGCATTTATGCATGTGCATAATGCATTTATGCATGTGCGTTTAATGTATAACAGACGGTATAAGCTAGGCTAAATTATCTAATTATTTATTTCAGTTAATGTTGCAGATTGCGCTGTTCCTTAATCTTCTAATTGGATCCGGCTTATTATTTTTTGCAGACTGTTAGAGTAATTTTATAAAAAGTAAGCTTGAACATTCGATTATGTCAAAAAGAGTTTCAAATTCTGGAGCTGCCAAAGGATCTACAAAGCGAAAGCTTGTTTCGATGTCCTTCAAACAAAAAGTGGAATTGCTGCAAAAAATGGATAAAGTCTCAAAATTATATGCATAATCGTCTCAAAATTATGTGAGGAGTATGATATTGGAAAGTCAACTGTGTATGACATATGCAAATAGAAAAAGGAACTTTTTGAATATTTTGTGGATTCCGACACCACACTTGCAATGACTAACAGAAAAAGGGTTCATTATGCTAAAAGTGATGATCATGACAAAGCGATGAATGTTTAATAAAGTAAACAAATAAAATATTAAGCTTTTTTCTTTATAAATCCTGATACTTTTTAGATCATAATTGCTCTTTATTTCAAACCACGGTTTCATATTTTTAATTGTATCATTTCTGCATGCCATCTTACCAGATTTAAATTGATTATCTATAATCCGGAAAAACCCCTAATCCGGAATCGCCGAAGTCCCGACGAGTCCGGATTACAGACTTTGTACTGTATTAGAAATTTGAATTTTGCTAATTTGGTTTAACAAATTAAAGAATTTTAATATTTTATTTAGGGAACACAATTTATTTTTGCATTACTGTTTAAATTATTATATTATTTTGAATTATTTTAAAAATGAGGTTATTGTTTAAAAATCTGAAGTCTAAGAAGTTACTAATTATTTTAAGAATGAAGTCAACACAAACTTTGAAAAAGTTTATTTACTTTACAATTTTTTCATTATAATTATAATTTTTGTCATGGTGTGAAAATTTTTTTTATTTATTTATAAATTGGGGTGTTTTAGAACAGTTAAAAAAAGCCAGCTGCCTTTAAACAAGGAATGTCGACCTCTTTAAAAGTAACTGCCACAGACCCCCTTGCCCACTGGTGCAGAACACTATTAGTTCAAATGGATTTGCCCTTTAAGATGGACATGTAAGTATTTGGAGAAAGCTGTGGGGGCTTCCAGCTCTAATTTGAAATATCTGAATAATAATAAAAAGCATAATGTCAAGAAAACTATTTAAAAGATGTTAAATGGAATGAGAATTAGTTATAAAATTTTGAAATTTGTTGTGGTTCTACACAATAATTAATGAATGGATGTATTCAAAATTTCTTTAACATTGTATGGTAAAATTTAAAATGCCTCCCTTAAACAATTATGAAGATTCAAAAATTTAATTTTGATATTTTTACTTCCAAATTTGACTTTCTCTCAATCTGCCTTCTTTTAACTAAAAGTTTTTCTTAAAATTATTACTTTGGGACAATGTAAAATGATGTTTACTAAATTTCTAAGACATAATGTCATTACATAAGTTATTTGTCTTAGCGTGAAGTTTAATTTTGTATATTTATTTTTTATTACAAGTAAGTTATATAAAGAATTTTATGGCCATAAAAGCAAATAAATACACTGATTCTTTTTATATATACACAATGTTAGAAGCCTTGTAACCTTGTATAAGAAATGGAGGTTTTTTTAAGGTTAACTGTATAGCATCCCACAGGCATCAGAAAGTTGTTATGGTAATTCCCCTGTGGAGGACCTGTCCATTTTTATCAAATTTTAAAATTATATTGTATTTTTTTCATTTCTGTGTATTAATACACAGGTATATAATATGAAAATATCACTTTATTTTATAATAGGTTAAACTGCATTTTAATAGAATTTCATAACTATGTCCTAAAAGTATTTTGATTTTATATTGATGAAAATACATTTTATGAAAGATTCCCGCAAGACTGCAAGAATTTCGAAGTGATCCTCCGGCTACTTCAACAACTTTAGAAACTTATATTTTAGAAACTTTCAAAAATGATTCTAAATTTTATTTATAAAACAATACTTCTCCTTTACACAAGATGTAACTGTATATCTAAAATTGTGTAAGAAAGTATGTGCTAAGAAATTCACCATCCAAAAATAAATGATGTTTAACTGCCAAGCTGGTTGTGCTTCTTCCGAAATTCCATCCGATCACCCACTAGACTGCTATTTCCACCTAACTATGTGGCAGTTTTTTTCAGCCATAACTAAAAAGTGAATCAGTGCCTTTCATAATTAAGCTGCCATATAATAATATCAAGTTACCTACAACAAAATAAATCATCACACACACATATATATAATATATATATAATAGAAACAAATGTAGAAGCAATGAACAGCAGGAATTTAAACAATTCAGAGATGTTGAAAATCCAATTCACGATGAATAAGAAATTTGCAGTCAAGGTATGTTTAATTCAGCTTTTATTTCAGTAAACATGTTCAGCACATTCAAGTTGGCACATCATGTTTAATACAGCACAATCAAGTTGGCACATTAATTGTGCTTGTTTCAGAAAGCTTACATTTTTGATAAATGTGCAGCAAAGAAAGAAGGAGAGCTAGGCCAAAGCGTAGAAAGCAAGTGCGTTATGTGCAGAGTGAAATCTTAATTCAGACTGAGTTATAAACTGGTTAGGCTGAGTTATGTATGGTTTGATTGGATAGCTAATACTGCTATAAAATTACTATTGGCTGTTTCAGTTTTGGTTCCATTTACATCATCAGAATTACATAAGAGCCATATGACATAGATTAGTCTCAAAATGATGCAGTGCAAATAGAGGTTACTATTTTTAGAACAGAGACAGGAAATTAATTCACACTGCTAATTTAATCTTTTAAATAGTCTTCATTTTTCTTATATATATATATGTAAGATGAAAAATATGTAAATCAGCTTTATAATTTAATTTAATAACAGCCTTTTAATTGCTCTTTTTTAATGTGGTTATTTTCTCCTTATTCTAAAAATATCATTTCTAGATTAATCTATGCCACAAAGCTTGCATAACACTGACAATATAGTTACTTCAGAACCTAAACTCTTGATAATTGAAACCTTTGTAAACCAAAACCTTCTTTCGTGAGCTGCAATATTGGATAAACGCTATCTTCTCTTGTAACTCTGTTGCTGCTTAGATGTTATTTTGCTCAGCTCTGTTCCTGTCGCAATTGTATTAAAAAATGTAAATGTTCCGACAGTTAGTGAACTAACTGTGGCTATAAATATGGATTTAAATAAAAGCGGAATTAAAAGTGTCTAGAATGTCAAATTTCTTATTCATCGTGGATCAGCATTTTCAGTATTCTATACAATCAGTATTCTTCCTCATCAATATGGATCTACGTTCTATGCCAAACAACACTGCTATGTTTTTTTCTCTTTTTTATCACATACACATCTAAATGTATAGTAATTTAATACCTTGAAAACAAATAACTCTAAAACTGAACAATTTTGGTTTGACATTTATGAAAATCTACAAAATCTGAATTCCAGATCCCTATAGACGTTTTAAACAATCACTAAAAGTGCACAAAAATCCCCCCTCCCGAATGACAAAACATAGTTTTGATTTAAAAATTAACATAATTTTTTATTTTACACACTTACCCTTTTTTCTGGCATGCTTTCATCAGATGAAGATAAAGAAATTGAACTTGATGATTCATTCAGTTTTCTTTTAGCTTAAATTAAATTTGAAATATAAAATAAGTAGGTGCATATCATATGGAAAAAGAATATTAAAAGTAAATATTCACTTTTTTATATTTTAAAAATAGTAATAGTATTTAATAAACATGTTAAAGGACCTATGAACCAACATGAACTGGCTGAACTTGAATATTAAAATTTTACAAAATTATACTACATTGAAAAATACTGTTCATTTTCATTTTCTGACACAAAACAACATGCGAGTTAAAAGCTATGAAAAACATAATGATAGACATCACTGCTAGTTCTAAGCATTTTCTGAATTTAATACATATTGATTCAGCAGTAAGTATTGTTCTAACATTTAAATTCTCAGTGCAAATATGTGTTAAGAAATTGAACAGTAAAATAAAAATTATTAAAGTGACATTATCTTGTAGGACAAATATTGAAGATGTGCAGTATTATGCTTAGCATTATTAGGCTTGGTGTTATAAGAAGGATTGGAAAATATCACATTTTTCATCAAATTAAGACAAATAATTTTATACTATATTTTCAATCTGAGTCAATAAAATAATAACTCTCATTAACAATGATTTTTTTTTCCCACCTCATGTGTATAGGCAAATTTTCTTCAATTCATTTTTCATCTTTTAAGCTTTTCAATCATCTACTCAAAGAGGCAATTACTAGAATAAGGCTTTGGTTACTCTCAGAGAATGTAACGTCAAGCAATACAGCAGCTGAGGTAACATCTCCCATCTCATTCTTCTGATTTTATCTACAGTCTGTTTAAAAGTCTTCTTTTTTGTGAATGTCACTGGATTGCTTAACTTTATCAACAATTCCCCTTCTATTCATGACGGACATTCATCCATAAACAGACTTGAGTATAATTTAATAACACGCTTCTCATAATATAAAAATATTTCCATTTACCGTCTTATTTATTTTTGTCGAGTTATCATTGTGTCTGTTTTGACAAAGACACCGCTTCACAACATAAAGGCTATTTTAGAATTCTTTAATCCAAAAGCTGTGCCATGTTAAGCAACTAGTACTTTTTGGTGTTTAGTGAACACGTTTCCTTATGATTTATTTATGATTTTCTAAACTTTTTTTTTGACCTGCCATTATTTTTCACATAAAAAAGCAACATGTCTCACAGACCATTTCTGTGTGTTAAAGTTTTGGGGAACTGACAATTATTTTGTCAATGGGGGGACAAATGAAAGGAAGTAGCCAAAATGGGTTCTTAATGACTAAACCTTCTTTGTGGTCTGCTGACACAAATTCGTGAAGTTAAAGTATTATGCCTTCTTATAAATGTGAATTCTAATACATAAACAGAATGATTTTAAGGGTTAATAATTTTTTAATTAAAACTTTCCAAAATTCTAGAAAAATATTTTAAAATTTCAATCAAAGATATCTATACAATTCACTATATTCGATTTTCATATCTTTGGAAGTTCGTTATAGTTATAAAATAACATCAAATATTCAGGAAACTGGATGGCCAAAGGATTCGTTTGTTATAAGCTGAGTTCTTTACAACAGTGTTCAACTGTACAAAGAAAATAAAAATATTTGTAGCAATATAACAGTGTTATGTAAGAATAAAACATAGATATCGTAATGTAAATAAGAAATAAATTAAAATTCAGTTTCTTCCGTATCTTATGCTTAAGACTTTTTTTTTTTTTTTTTTTCCCTGCCACAGAAAAAGTTGGCAAAATGTTGATTTCAAAAATTATTTGTCCATATATGGCACAACAGGAAGAAACATCATAGAAGAAGACACACGTGCGAAACGTACAATGTGGGTCTATGCATGTACCAAAAAGACAAAAGATGCTTTGAATAGTGTCACAAAAAATATTTGTTCTTTGAAATTAAAAAAAAAAAAAAAAAAAAAAAAAACACGAGTCTTTTTTTTTTTTTAATCCTTATTTTACTGAGTTTTTTAATCCATGTAGCCAAATGTCCTTATTATGTAGGTACTTATACTTTCACACTGCGATAGAAAAATTACATAAACATTTATTTTTTAATTTTTCTGACGATTTAGTTTGTAAAATAATGTAATATATATATATATATATATATATATATTATGCAATTCTTACATGCATTTTTTTAAATTAGTAAATTTCGTCATTTATTGGAAACGCGCACGGAAAAAGGCAAGTTTTTTTTTCCTACTGCCTAGGTAAGTTTCAAAGTCCTAGACGCACGGTGGTTTCACAGTGCGACCACCACCCATAAAACAATGGGCAAGAGCAGATTTTTTAAAATTCATATATTATTTGTCTCTAGGATCATAATATTCAAATTCTAGAGTTTTTCGTTAAAAAAATTATAAAAATAATTTCGCGCGCGTCAAAGGGTTAGTAGGAAGAATCTTGCAGAGTGACATCATGCATGCTGCATTAGTACACTGATTTAGGTGAAATGTTCTTATATTCAAAGGTAGTGGTGGTTGGATCTCATTTGTTCAATGCACTCAAAACAAACTCAGGAATTTTACTGCTACGAGGAGTGCATTTTTGCACATGTCATTTGGTGTGAGTCTTGAGCACCATACAGGTGACGGTATGTTTTCTGCTCAGTTCTAGGCCAGTTTTGACAGAAAACATCCCAGGGACAAGTGTGAGGATCTCCCACCAAACTAAACAAGAGGACTTTCGACTTGTCATATATTTAGAACACCCATGCTGCAAAGATACTATACATTTACAACATCCCTGCCTTATTCGAGATTCAAATCCAGTCCTTTGGTATGGCAGTGAGAGTTACTAAACACTATCCCATCTGAGCAGCATTCAAAGGTGGTGATTTTCTTTCTTAATCATATTTTCCTCATTCAAAACTTACCAAATTTTAAAACAAAGAAAAGGAGTGTTTTCCAAAAAAATGTGGTATAAGAATTATAATATTCAATTTGCTATGTCTGCCTTCAGCAATTTCTTCAATTTTTTTTTCAGCAATTTCAAATCTGTTATTTTTAACAGCCCCTTAATTTCATGTTTAATCACATATATCTAAGAATTCTGCAAGAACTAAAAGTTATTTTTTTACAGTTTAGTGCATTTGTTTAAAACAAGACAAGTTAAAAGATTTTATAAATATATTTTTCTCTTTTTTTCTACAGTCAAAAGTCTTTAATCCGGACTTGTCGGGACTTCATTTGCATCGAGACTCCCATCATCGGGACTTCGGCGATTCCGGATTATCGGTTTTTCCGAATTATAGATCATCAGTTTAAATCTGGTAAGATGGCATGTAGAAATTATAAAATTAAAAATATGAAACCATAATTTATGAAATAAAGAGCAATTATGATCTAAAGTAAATCAAAATTTACAAAAAAAAAAAAAAAAAAAAAACTTAATATTTATTTGTTTACTTTATTAAACATTTCTTTCAACGTGTGCATGCATAAAGAATACATTACGCATACTCGAAATTAGAAAATTGCAACCACAAAACTATTTGATGTGTATTCGTGATATTTATAATGACGAGGAATTTGATTTAAATCATATCAAAGACGGAGTACATCGAGATTAAATACTACATTTAATAAGGAATTATAAGCCGAGTAAAATAAAACATCTGCCCTGAAGATAAGGATAGTGCTGACAGATCAACTTCCAGTTCATTGCGCGCTGCGACGGCAAAAAAAGTAAAACAGCAAAAAGAAGAAATATTTTGGAAAAAAAAAAGGAGGGAAAAAGTATAAAATTAATTTTATAGGGAAAACTGATGCCCATTCTGATAATTTTGAATAATCTGAGACAATTACATGGGAAAAATTCTTACTATGAAAAAATTAAAAACAAGACATTTTTAATTAATTACATAGCTAATTTTGCTTTTGCTAAGAGCTGTTTCATAAATTGTGCTTCATAGCATTATACCTTGTTTGTTTTTCAGATTCAAAATGAAACTTTATAATATGACAGCAAAAAAATGAAAATGTTTTATTTGAATGTTCTTTTTTAAATAAATAATATTTACCGCTATTTATAAATTATTTAAATGTTTATGTTTTTAAAAAAAGTCGTCAAAAAATTCTCAGATCTCGGAATTAAAAATTTCTATAGAAACTAATCTTAAAATCGCCAAAATGTTGAAAAGTCGCCAAATTTAGAACTGTTTGATAAAAGAATTCACATCCACAAAAGCGAAAAGTTGTTTAAAAGCTCTTTATTAGAAAAAAATGAATTTCGAAATTCTTATGTTTCACTTCTTGCTTAGAGACTAAATTATAACTCATAAACCCATTCAAAAGATTTACCATATATACGGCAGTGAACCGCCAAAAATATTCCTCCAAAATGCTAATTCACACTCAAAATGGCAGTCGTAAAAACACACAGAAATTTTAGATGATTAAAATTAAGGACCTTCTGCTGACTTTGGCCAAAATTAAGGACTTTTAAGGACCAAAAATAGATTCCAAAAAATTTAAGGACTCTTAAGGACCGTACGAACCCTGAATTATAGGTTGAGGTTTTGTTCTCTATTTCTTGTTCCCCTGATATTTCTGAGCTGGAGTGATGTAAAGAAATGTACCAAAAAGATAAAAAATTATCTATTTCTTATAAATTTTGATTTCAAGCTAAAAAGAATTACAAAAATTAAAAATGATTGTCTATATTGATCATATGCTTATTTTTAAGCAACTTTCTTAATAAAAAATACACACTTTTCTTTACTGTTTTCTTGAAAACAATGCGATCATTAGAAGGTTAGTAATACAGCTAAAAAGACAAAAAGAAATCAGTTAGCAGGAGAAAGTGCAACAGCAGACTGGTTGACAGCAGCGATCTCAGTGAGAGCATTGAAAATCTTAATCTTTTGAGCGACTGTTGCGATCTGAGACTTTTCATATTTTTTTTTTTTTTTCTTTTCTTGTGGCTGTTTGCGTTTTGACACTTCCATTTAATAAGTTGCCTTTTTGGATACTGTGTGCTATAATATTCCTGTTGTTTTGTCGTAATAACTTTGTAAAAGTATA